TTGCGGGAAGGAATGACGATGTTATTGATGAGGCGTTGGCAATGTTGGCTGATGTGATTGGGCAACAGTCGCACATTAATACTGGTAACATCAATGAAGATGATGAATTTTGTGCTCTGGGGAAGTTCCAGAGGAAAATTCTGCCAATATTTGAAGGAGCTCATGAACCTGATAAAGCACAAGTATGGTTGAAATAGATTGAGAAGATCTTTCAGGTCATGAATTGTTCGGATGCGCAGAAGGTGCAGTTTAGAACCCATATGCTTGAGAAGGAAGCTGAAGATTGGTGGAACAACATTGTTCGGAGATTTGATGAAGATGGTATTGCTACTTGGGTACTTTTCAGAGATGCATTTCTGGAGAAGTATTTTCCAGAGGATGTGTGTGGGAAAAAGGAGATTGAATTTATTGAGTTGAAGCAGGGTAATAGATTTGTGGTTGAGTATGCTGCAAAGTTCGAGGAGTTGATTAAGTTTTATCCTCATTACAACACTGATAATGCTGAAAGGTCTAAGTGTCTTAAGTTTGTGAATGGTTTGAGGCTCGATATCAAGAAGGATATGGGTTATCAGCAGATTACTCGATTTTATGAGCTGGTTAACAAGAGTAGGATCTATGGTGAGGATAGTCGAGATAATGTTGCTTACTATAAGGCTTTTCATGATAAGAAAGAGAAGGGGAAACTCAGAGGGAGGCCACATGTGACTCTTGGTGGCAAAGGGAAAAAGAAAGCTAGTGATGACAAGAAGCCAGTACGGGGGGGGGGGGGAGCTTCTACTCCGGTTAGGTGCTATAAGTGTGGTGTTGAAGGACATCTTGCTCCTGAGTGAACAAGTCCTGATGTGAAGTGTTTCAAGTGTGGAAATCTAGGTCATAAGTCTCATGATTGCAAAGGAGTTTTGAGTGTGACTTGCTACAACTATGATGAGCAAGGTCACATTAGTTCCAAGTGTGACAAGCCGGAGAAGGACCAAGCTAGAGGGAAAGTGTTTGCTTTATCAGATTCTGAGATTGCTGCTAAGGATAGACTAATATGAGGTACGTGCTTTATTAATGGTACACCTTTGATTGCTATTATTGATATTGGCGCGACATATTCTATAATTTCTTTGGATTGTGTTAAGAGATTGAATCTTGATTTATCTGATATGAAAGAAAGTATGGTTATTGACACTCCTGTTATGGGTTCAATTACTACTTCTTATGTGTGTTTGAATTATCCGTTGAGTATTTTTGGTAAAGACTTTGGAGTTGATTTAGCGTGTCTTTCGTTAGATCAGCTGATGTTATTCTTGGGATGAACTAGTTGAAATACAATCATGTTTATATCAATTATTTTGACAAGACGATTATCTTTCTTGATTCTAGTTTTGAGAGAGATTTATTTATGTCTGCCAAGCAAGTTAATGAGTATGTGCAGGATGGTGTTATGTTGTTAGCTTTGATGGCAACATTGAATGTTAGTGAGAACGAACAATTGGTGAATTAGAAATAGTTCATGATTTTCCTGAGGTATTTCCTGAATATGTAATTAATTTTCTGCCAGAGCGTGAGGTGATGTTTACGATTGATTTAATTCCTTGAACTAGTCCGGTATCGATGGCTCCATATCAGATGTCAGCATCTGAATTAAAAGAGTTGAAGAGTCAACTTTAGGAATTGATTGAGAAGAGATTTATTCATCCTATTGTGTCACTGTGGGGTGCACCTGTTTTGTTAGTTAAAAAGAAAGAGGGTACTATAAGGTTATGTGTGGATTATAGACAACTGAACAAGGTGACTATCGAGAATAAGTATCCACTTCCGAGGATTGATGATTTGATGGATCTGTTGGTTGGTGGAAGTGTATTCAATAAGATAGATTTAAGGTCTGCATATCATCAGATTTGTACTCACAAATTGGAGATCTGACAATGAAGAGATCATTAGTATGTTTGACTCCGATATTTTAGATATCGAATAGACATTTTAATACAAAATAAATGAAGGTAAGTATTTATGTCATCAGTTACAATTCAATATAAGGATTTGAAAAATCACTCAAGTTATACTTTGTTGTAAGTCAGTCATATATTGTTTCAACAATAGGTTTTAAAAGTTCACTGACTTATAAGTTATTATTGTTGAAACTAAAATATATGCATATGGAATTTAAGCTAAAAACTCACTAATCAAAGACTTGACATATAAGCACTTTCATATGATTATTGTCACTAAGGATGTCTTACATTAGTGGGAGTCACTCATTCTTTATGTTTAATAATATTATTTTGATATCGATACAGAATTTATGTTAAGATTATTTGCAGAAATAATTTTTATAAGGTTATTATATTATAACTATTTATGTATTATTTGTGCAAATATTGAATTTTCAAACTTTAGTTTGATCTCAATAAAGACTTCAGTTGGACCAATTGGAAATACACATGATTTAGAAATCACATTGTATGAAATTTCCATGCCACTCATCCATATCTATCTATGTCATCAAGTACATTTATGTGGTGGTCGTCGGGGTTCTGTCACGTTATACGTTAGTGACGACATCTGCGATGGTTCCCTTATTGATGTATGAGGTGGACCAGATTGTAAAGTTGAAATTTAAAGATAAATAGCATTCAGATGCTCACCTAAGGAATTATGATATAATTATTAAAATATATTGGCCAAGTGGAAGATTGTTGCAATATTTTAATAATACAGTCTTATATTAATATTTCAATAATTATGTGGCCAAATATATTTATTTAATTATATTAGCTATTTTATCAAATAAAGTGCCTTAAATAATCATGTGATCAAATAATGTTAAAAGACTATTTAGATTTTATTTAAGAATTATTTAATTATTTAATTAATTAAATAATTGGGTATGGATTCAAATATGAGTGGATGTGAGGATATCCCATTTGAGAATAATGGAAACTCTAATTGGCCATCATACTATATAAAAGCTATGGTCCCCAGTAGACCGTACACAAGCAAATTATCTCTTCTCCTCATCTGAAGAGTATTCAAGACATTAGAAGTACTGATTGAGGAAGAACCACACAAGCCATCAAATATTCATTGTTTGTCTCCCTATTCTCAGGATTACTGCTAATAGGAACTTTCTCGATGGATCCAGATATTTCTAAAATTATTTTATCGATCCTTTAATTTTATACATGCTTGTATAACTATTTGGTTTCCGTATAAATTATATGTTATACTTTGTGAGCATGTATATCTTATTGACTTCGTTAGGTCATTTAATTCTAACATATTAATTAAAATATTGAATATTAACGGGAACATGAAGTTAATGATCGAATATTGAATAGTAATGGGAACATGAAATTAGTGATCAAAATATTGAATATTAACAAGAACATAAGTTACTGATCAAAATATTAAATATTAACGGGAATATGAAATTACTGATAAATTTTTGAATATCAACGAAAATATGAAGTTACAGATCAAAATAGTGAATATTGACGAGAACATAAAGTTACTGATCAAAATATTGAATATTAACGAGAACATAAAGTTACTGATCAAAATATTGAATATTAACGAGAGCATGAAATATTGATCAAACTATTGAATAGTAAAGAGAACATGAAATTACTGATCAAAATATTGAATATTAACGGAAACATGAAATTATTGATCAAATTTTTGGAATATTAACGGAAACATGAAGTTAGTAATCAAAATATTGAATATTAGCGAAAACATGAAATTACTGATCAAAATATTGAATATTAATAGAAATATTAAATTACTGATCAAAATTTTGAATATTAACGAGAATATGAAGTTATTGATCAAAATATTGAATATTAACAAGAACATGAAGTTATTAATCAAAATATTAAATATTAATCGAAATATTAAATTAATGATCAAAATACTAAATATTAACAAGAACATGAAGTTACTGATCAAAATATTGAATATTAACGAGAACATGAAATTATTGATCAAAATATTTAATAGTAACGAAAACATGAAATTACTGATCAAAATATTGAATATAACGAGAACATTAAGTTATTGATCAAAATATTGAATAATAATAGAACAACTTTATAACTAATTTTTAAATAATTTTTACAAAAATTCTAAAACAAAAATAATATTTATATAAAAATATATATATTATTAATTCAAATATTTTATAAATTGAAAGAATTTACTGGCATCGATTTATTATCCTTTTAAAAAATTATTTTATTTTTATTATATTTTAAAAATAAATACGCGTATCATACATGTATCTGTGTAAACACACGTATATTCCACTAGTTATTATTAAAGATTAAAATATTATTTGATTGAATTGAAGATTGTTTAATTGTAAATTTAAGATTTATTTTTAACAATGACAGACTCTCTAATTTTAGGTTATAATTTTAAGATTGTAATAATGATATTTGTGGTATATTTTGATATAAATATTATGAGATGAATATTTTGATTTAAAATTATGATGATATTTGTGGTATATTTGATATAAAAATTTCAAAATATGTACCGGTTAAGATATAATAAGAGTTGTTATTTGAACTATGATAGTTTTTCTCAAGACTTTACAATCATTATTGATATTAAGAACTCTAACGATAAAATCAAATATTTATTATTGAAATTCACTATTTTCACGTGTTACTATCACCATAATTTTTTATTTTATTTTAATAAATACAATATTTGGTTCAATTTATTTTGTTGCAAATAAATTTTATGAATTTTGTTCAATTTTGAGTTTTTACTTACATATTTGAATTGTCTCTTACTTATTTTTAGTGTAATTTTTAATTTGTTGCATTGATTGTTCTATTCATTTGATCCGTTCATATAATAAGGTTGAGACATATGTTCGATAATTATTAATTTATTTATGTCGAAA